ACTCAGATGAATACCAGGGTCCAAGGGCTGGTGACTCAATACTGTGCTTCCAACATGAGGCTGCTCTTTGTAGTGGCCTCTGAGAACATCAGTGGGGACACCGCAGCATGACTGTGGGAGAAGCTGTGGCTTGGGGCATGGAAAGTATTAAAAATCACACACACACACACACACACACACACACACACACAGGTTTAAAGCACCATATGCTCCTCACCATTGCTTTGACCCTCTCATGGAATGGTTAGCTTGAGCACTTGGGCTTCGGACTCAGACCAACCTGGGTTCAAGTGTAGACCTACCTGCTCCTGTCCCCAAGGGCCCGAGGCTCAGGATCAACACCTCTAACCAACAGCAGCATCAGGAAGGCGGGAAGGGGATGGATTCCAGAGCACCCTACAAGGGGCTTTCAATATGGAGTCTGCCAGGGTGATGCGTCGCTCCAAGGGTTGAGCTCAGAGTTTTGCCAGCAACCAGCCAGCCTGGCTTAGAGCACCACGGCTCAGTTCATGGAGATGGCCAGGTGCCCGGGGAGGGGGGGGCTCTCAGAGTCCTCAGGGCACCCACAGTTGGAGGCAGGAGGAGTGTAACCCAGAGACAGGGAGACAGAAGTTGGCGACGGTGGGAAGGGAGAGTCGTCTCAGAAGGTAACCGAGGACAACAGAGCCGCTGCGGGGTGGGGAGCTAGTTGGCCTGGGGGTGGAGGTGTCCAGTGTTGGCAGAGATGCCAGAAGGAAGAGGCTGCCCATGTGAATGTGGGCAAGTTCCCTAACCTCTAGGGGCACAGTGGTGGCTTATCAACAGTGACAACTCGGGAATAATGAGCCCGAAGGACCATGATCCCATCCCCCAAACCTGGCTCCAGAGAGGCCCTCCCTTAGTGTCAGGAGAACATCAATTCATAGGCTCACCTGGAGGGCAGTCAGTGGCTCGGGCAGGGGACTTGATCTCATCACGCTTGCCAACTGCAAAGAGCTGAGGGATGTCAGGGGTTGGGCAATGGATGGTCACCGCTGGTCACCAAGCTTCCTCTGCTGCCTTTGGGGCTTAGGTGAGCTAGCCATGCGGGTGGCAGAGCCTGGAGGCCAGCCCAGACCACTCGGGATGGATGATTCCCTACCCCTGTAACTCAGGCCTGGAATATGGAATTGACTGACCCAAGGTCACACAGCAAAACTGGGAAGGGACCAGAGCTCACATCTCCCACAAACCTAAATCAGACTATCTGAGGTGGGGGAGGGCCGGGGCATCTCAGGATTTTGTTTTTATTGTTTTGCTTTGTTTTTTTAGGTGCTGGGATGGAACCCAGGGCCTCATACCTGCTAAGCAAGTGTCTAAACCCCCTGCCCCTGAGTTTGAAAATGCAAACCACCAGATGAGGGGCCTGTACCAGTAAGCCCAGCTACTTGGGAGGCTTAGATAGGAGGATGGTGAGTTGGAGGCCAGCTTGAGCAACTTAGCAAGATGCCACCATTTTAAAAAATAAGAAAACTTAAAGCCACTCCAGGCAGTGACTCCGATACCGTGACCTGTGCTACTCTACTCCTCTGTGCTAGGTTTTCTCCTCTGGTCCCCAGGTCACTCCTTCATTTGTTCCCCTTCCTGGTGCCCTGTGCTGATTTGCATAGATGGTGTCACCAGCCTTCTCCCCCCACCTGTGGCTTCTGGTTGGTTTGCTCCTGCTCCCTTACTGCTGGGCCAGCTGGGCAGGGCCACGGGTGCAGCCCTCTGTCAGTAGAAACAGCTGCCCTCCACGGCTAGCCCTGGAATCTCACCCCCACCAGCCCATCCTCCGAGCTTTGCCCATGTCTCTGCCTCTTCTTTCTAGAACCTTCAGCGAGCCCCTGCCTCTGCTGTGTATGCATGCACTTGCTCCCAGTGTCCCAACCCGGCAGCCCTCCATCTGTGTGAAGGGTGGTCCACCTCCACCTCCGCCTGCCCTGGGGGTGGCCTCAGGGGTCTGGCTGTGCAAGTTCAGGAAAGTCACTCCATCGGCGGAGGGTCGGAGCAGCTCCCTGGACGGGGTGATTCCTGAGCTGGAGGAGTCAGGGAGGAGAGTGGGTGCAGGCCCCTGGATACCCGGCTGTGCACCCAGCAAGTAGACACCCTGGGTCCCCGGGAGCCCAGCCGGGGGAGGAAGGAAAGGGGTGGCCAGGAAGGATGAGCAGAAGCCACCTGGGGCCCACGGTGACCCGAGTAAGGTCCCGAGTCAGTGGGGAGTCCCGACAAGGGCACTGACCTCTGAAGACAGCGCTGCGAGGAGGCGGAGGAGACCTCCAGCCACATGTGACCCTGCCCCACCTGAGCCCCATTCCCTGACCCAGATCCTGGGGTGACAAGCCCGGGGTGCCTGACCCCTCCCTGGACTCACAGGGAGGTCTCGAAATGTGAAACCTGTGGACCCAAGAGAACAATGGGGACTGTCCTTCAGGCCAAAGTGACCATGGGGTTGCTGGCTTGATGGGAAACGCAGGTTCCTTTGCACCCGATATGTCCCCGGGGCTGAGGACTCCCTGGTGGAACTGCTCCTGGGACACACAACAGCCTCGTCCCCCGGGGTTGGCTGCACCAGCTCTCCTGAGCAGAAGCACAGGGGACCCACATTCTCTTTCCAGGCTCTCTGGTTTGGTGACAACATCTTTGCGTTTTGCCATTAAGGGCATCTTGATTCACTTACGTCAAGCCCAGAAAGGAGGTGCGGTCCTAAGAAGACTTCCCGGGGGGCACCTGCCGCCCCCTGTTTTTGTTTCCATTGTTGCTTTGAGGTGCAGGCTCTGTCTTGATCCCTGCTAGACCCTGGGGTCCTGGCACAGAGGCTGTCCCCAGAAAGCTCCAAGTCTGGTGGGAGACACAGAGTCACCTGACCATTCCACCAATCCCTTTCTTATTTTTATTTTTCTGCAGGCTGGCACGGAGCCCAGGGCCCCACGCCTGCCGGGTGAGCACTCAGGTCCTGAGCCACACCCCAGCCCTCCTCCACTGTGACTGAGCCCCGCCTCAGTACCACCCAGGCTGCTCCCTGTCCCCAGGGAGGTTCCATTCTAGTGTGTGAGGAAGAATAGTGATAAAACAGCTGATCCTCCTCCACAGAGGATGGCCTAAGAGGATGGCCACAGAGGATGGCCTAAGACCCACAGAGGATGGCCTAAAAGCCCTGGGCTGAGCATGCTGCACACACCTGTCATCCCAGTTACTCAGGAGGCTGAGGCTGGAGGATCACAAGTCAAGTTCAATGCCAGCCTGGGCAATTTAGCAAGACCTGTCTCAAACTACAATTTAAAAAGACTTGGTGGCTTAAAGCAAGAGGAACTTACTTTCTCACAGTTCTACAGCAGGAAGTCCCAAGTTCAGGTGTCGGCAGAGCTGGGCTCCCTCTGGAGGCTCCGGGGAGAATCCTTGTGGCCTCGTGGCTCCAAGCTCTGTCTGCAATAGCACATGGCCTGCTCTTCTTTCTTCTTCCGTCTCCTAGAAAGACAACTGGACGTTGGACTTAGGTGCACCTGGATAATCTTAAGATTCACGACTTAATCACAGGTACAAAGACCCCTACCTAAAGACACCCATGGTTCGACCCACTGTGGAACCTTCTTCTTTGCAGGTCCCTCTGCAGGGCCTGATTCTAGAGGTCACAGCTCTGGCTGAAAAAGTTGGCTGCAATGTTTAAGGAAAAGGGGAACTTGCTGGACCTGCACTGCCCCTTCAGGAGACCCTGAGGTGGGAGGCACTTTCCCACCAGGTTCAGGCTTCCCCGGGAGAATCAGGAAGTTGGGACCATGGCCTCCAGGTGGCACCCTGAAACCTGAGCCTGGATATGCTCCAGACATAGGTCGGGTGGCCTCCGGGTGTCCATGATGGGCACCCAATGGGTCCAGCTATGCTCCTGGCCAGGCCTTGATTTCTGGCAGGACAGACAGCGGCTGACGAGAATCTAGAGAAAGAAAGGAGGGAGTGGAAAGCCCGGACCCTCTGCTGAGGAAAGCCTTATTTCCATTTCACAGCTGCACCAACTGAGGTTCAGAGAGACCCAGCCACTGACCACCCTGCACTGTTGGTCTACTTCCCAAAGCCTTTATTTTTTTGGGGGGGTGGGGGCGGGGGGTGAGCATCTGGCTTCTGCCACAGGGGTGCTGGTCTGGGCAGGGATCTGGGGGCTTCTGAAGCCTGTCCTGCAGCTGCACCTTGTACCTGTCCACTCCTCTCACCCACCCTCCTGTAGTCCCGGAGGGTTTGGGCCAGGGTGACAGCCTCATAAGTGAAGGACTTTGGCTTTCGCAGCTCCTAAAATTTGCAACCAGAGCCTGGAACTCAACTGTCTGCCTGACACCCACTGAACTGTGGGGTGCAGGGGGTGGTAAAGGAGAAGCAGGAGCCATAGGAGACACCACTCGTTTCGACACCCTGGGACCAACCAGGGGTGACCTTCCCAGTTCCCTATATTATTATTATAGAATGATCCAGCTCAGCAATATAAGATGATCTCATCTACCTCACCTAGGCCTTCAACACCCACACCCCCTCGTGTGCTCTTATGGCACCTTCCCAGGGCCTGCGGGGGCCCAGCACCGTGGCCTGGTGGGAATGGCTGCATCCCTGTGGACCAGAGCTAGAGGGACTCAGCAGCAGAGGACAGGTGAGAGGCGCACAACCCCACAAGTGGCTTTCAGCTGTTGAATCTCGGGGTCTTTATACTTATTGAATCTAATATGTTGGTCCTCCAGCAGATTAGTGCCAGGCTAACTCTGTTGGCCTGTAGGTGGACCCTGATCACATTCATATACATGACTCAGGGGAGGGGTAGCCTTGAAAGATTAGATCACTTCACACTGTTGAGTTGATCATCCGCAGCTTTTCAGCCTCTGATAACTGTGGTATCCATCCGTGGGTGGGGCTCTGGGGTTGATTGTGATAAGGCACAGATCTGGGTTTAGAGTCTTAACTCACGTGTGCCAGCTGGGTGGGGTGGCGCATACCTGTAATCCCAGTGGCTCAGGAGACCAAGGCAGGCTCAGCAATTTAGCAAGGCCCTAAGCAACTTAGTGAGACCCTGTCTCTAAATAAAATACGAAAAGGGCTGGGCAGGTGGCTCAGTGGTTAAGCACCCCAGGTTTAATCCCCTTCAAAAAAATTCACGTACGCCGGGGGGCTCTCCACTTCTGCCCTACGGGTACTTTGGTCCTGGTAACTGTTTGTGCTTGGGGCTCTCCTGAGCATTCTGGGATGATTGGCAGCCTCCCTGGCCTCTACCTACTAGATGCCAGGTATATCACAGCTCTTACCCCTCCCATGCCTTCACTGCGACAACCAAAAATGTTGCACTTGTCCATGAGGCAAGATGAGCCCTGATTGAGATTCCCTGGCTTATGTGAATGCTTCATGCCTGCCCCCCCCAGAAATCCCTTTGATCTGGGGACACACACAGGTGAAGGACTTTAGTGCAGAGGCTGGGCGCACTTCCTGGGGTGGCTGTAGCAAACTGCCACTCTCTGCCGCCATGACTTAAGACAACAGAAATGTGCACTCCTGCTTTCTGGAGGCCGGAGGTCAGCATTCCAGGTGCCCGCTGGGCCATGGCCCCTGATGGCCCAGGCAGATCCTTCCCACCTCTTCTTGGCTATTGGAAGTGGCAGCACGTGCCTGCAGCGCTCCAGTCTCTGTCATCCCGTGTGCCCTCCCCGTGCCTCGGCCCTTCCCCTAAGGCCCCCAGTCATGCTGGATGAAGGCCCAGCTCCAGCATCACCTCACCTTCCCTGATTACAACTGCAAAGACTGTTTCCAAATAAACCCACATTCAGAGGTTCTAGGAAGGACATGAATATTGGGGGGTGAGGGGTACAAGTAAATTTAGCACAGCTGGGCGTGGTGGTGCATGCCTGTTAACCTCAGCAACTTGGGAGGTTGAGGGAGGAGGATCGAAAGTTCAAAGCCAGCCTCAGCAACTTAGTGAAAACCCTATGTCAAAACAGAAAATCAAAAGGGCTGGGAATGTGGCTCTGTGGCTACTAAACATCCCTGGATTCAATCCCCAGTACCAAAGAAATAAATAAAATAAAATAAAAATAAACTCCATACAAGTCCCGCAGAGAAGTGGGGTCTATCCCTGTCTTTGCAGGAGGACCTGGGAAATCAGCGTATGTCTTCCAGGTGACAGCATTAGCCAGAGGCAGAGCCAGGACTGGTCTCAGCCTACACCCACCTCCAAGGGCATGAGAAGCAGCTGGGACCCCAGTGCCGTCCAGGAGCGTCCACAGCCAGCCCACCACCCAGACCCCAGCCCTCCCATCCACTTGGACCCCCAGCCCGAGGGCCCTCCTAGGATCTCTCTGTCTCCCCACGAATCTGACTTCTTCCTGCTGCTGGTTGGACCTGGTCACCAAAGAGACATGACTTGTTGGTTAATTTTTTCCCCCTTCAGAAAAATAAATTCATAAATGGTCCTTGGCAAGCTGTTTACTACCTGGTTTTAATGGCCTGTTTATTACCCCGAGTCTGCATCTGTTAACACACCCCTCTCGTCATTTTTCCTCATTAACTGTCAATTTGGAAGCCAGTTTTGGCATTAACCATGCCTAGACCTAAATGGCTGCGGACAGTTGATTTTATGGCCGTGCCTTGTCTTGGAAATGCGGGACCTGTCATCAAAGGAGAGCTGCAAACCGGGCTCGGCAGGCGGCTGGACGCGGGCTGCTGGCAGGAAGGTAAGGCCGGTGGGATCAGCCCGGGACATGGGACACGGGGTGCGCAGCTCTTCAGAGGCACCGCCCTTCTTGTGACTGCTAAGAGACAGCAGCATATTTAGAAGGAAGTTTTTCTTTGTGACTTTAGGGAGGGATCATAAAGAATCTGGGAACTGGAAAAATTATTATTCTCACAGAAATGCAGAAAAGAGGCTGAGGCAAGAGGATTGCAAGTTCAAGGCCAGCCTCAGCCACTTAGGGAGTACCTGTCTCCAGATAAAAAGTAAAAAAGGCCTGGGCATGTGGGGATGGGGGATGAGGGATGGGGATCAGTGGCTGAGCACCCTGGGTTCTATGTCCAGCTCAAAAAAAGAAAGAAAGAAATGCAGAAAAGAAAGTATCTCGGGGCTGGGGATGTGGCTCAAGCGGTAGCGCGCTCGGCTGGCATGTGTATGGCCCAGGTTCAATCCTTAGCACCACATACAAACAAAGATGTTGTGTCCGCTGAAAACTAAAAAATAAATATATTTAAAAAAAAAGTATCTCTTTGGAAAACAATCATGACAGATTCATTAAGGCTAAATCTAACTCCACTCCACGTCCCACCCTGACTGGAAGGGATGCAGAAGTGGATGAGAGGTGGCCCTGGCCAGGTGTTCCTGAGAACAAGGATAAAGATGTGCCTGAAGGTGAGGACAAGCCAGAGCCAGGTGAGCTGAGGGCTGGGTGGTGAAGTCACCAGTACTAGGCAGAGACTGTCCCCAGGGGAGGGGGCATCAGGGGCTGGCATAAGCCTGGAAGACTGGGATGTTGATCAGAGACCCAGAGAAATGTGGAGCTGGATGAGTCACAAGCCCCCTACATCTCCAATGCATGGGGCTCGTTTTAAATCCTCTGTGCCAAAATCCAAGACGGGACAGGAAGGGAGGCTTGGAGTCCCAGCCCTTGCCCTGCTTTCTGGTCATCTCCTGCCCTCTTGTCCACCTCAACCCTGAGATCCAGCCTCACCATAATAGAGTGATAAGGTGTTGCCCCCAAATTCAAGTTCACTTGGACCTAGGAACGTGACCCTGTTTGCAAACAGGATCTTTGTAGATGCTACTAGTCAAGATGCGGTCAGACTGGATTAGGGTCCCTAAGTCCAACCACGGATGCCCTCATAGCAAGACAAGAAGAGACACAGGAGGGAAGGCCACACCAGAAGGAGGCGGAGACCAGAGTGACACAGCCACCAGCCAAGGACCACCAAGGACCGTCACCCACCATGGATCAGAAGAAGCAAGACAGGCTCCTGCCCAGCTCCGAGAGAGCCTGGCCTCCCAGGGCCTTGATTTCACAGATTCAGCCTCCAGGACAGGAGGGGAGATGGCTGTTGTTCTAAGCTGCCTGATGTGTGGTTCTTTGTCACAACTGTCCCAGGAAAAGAAGGCACCCGCTCACCCACGGCCACATGTCCCCGAGATGGGTGGCTTCCTCAGGGCCCTGCCCTGCTAACCCTTCTTTGTTGTCCAAACACCTGTCCCTGGGGTGAGAGACAGGCCAAGGTCAAGCTGCTGATTTGTCCACTCGTTTACAGCAAAGGAACTTTCTTTTCTTCTTTTTTTTTTTTTTTGTGTCATTTCTGTCTTTTATTTACTTTTTGGACTTTTATTGTTTTAGCAAAAGGACGTTCAGAGAAGCTAGAGCCTGACCTGTGGCACATACCTGTCAACCCAGTGACCCCAGAAGCTGAAGCAGGAGGACCACAGGTTGGAGGCCAGTTTGGGCAGCTTGGTGAAATCCGACCTCAAA